GCAAGGACACAATGTTGTTGCAATGTCTGAATATGAAGATGATTTGGAGTTAAGTTTCTCGGAGGAGAAGTTGAAGTTTGCGACCGCGCAGAGCACGCCGAGATTCTCCTTTTCGTCGCACCACCACGCGGCAAATAATCGCTATTGTGTAACGCAGTCTCCGACTAAGAGTGTTTGTGGAAACACTTTGTGTGACTATGGAATGAGTACTCCTGGCTACATGGAGAAAACGCAGTCGTTTAAGGCGAAGTTGCGTTCGCATAGTGCACCTCGTCAGCGTTCTGAGAGAAAGCGGTTGTCGCTAGATGAGGTTATAGCGTCTAGGAGTAGCGTTAATGGTGTGAGCTTGGTGCAACCTCAACCGCAACCGCAACGCTATTCTTGTTCCTATGATCCGCTTTGACTTTTACATTGATGACTTCTCTCTTTTTCCTTTTCCTTTCTCTTTGTTGGTTATCTTATTATTTGTATATTTGCTTTCTCATGATTTTAAACGATTTTTCTTTCTCATGAATTAGGAATTAGCAACATATTTCTATCGTCGGCTTTAGCAAATTTAGGGTTGTATTTTTGGAATTTTTGAATAATGTCGCTTTCTTTAATCATGTTGCATCAACTTTGAAAAAAATACAACTATTTATGATGAAAAGACTAAATGTTCTTTATATCATAAAAACTCATAAAACCAACATAAAACAAGAATAAAAATAATAAAAGAAACAATACTTGAATCAAAATTTAAAACCCCTAAATAAATATTAAAAAAAACACACTCTATAATATTAAACTAAAACCGGGTAATATGGTGAAGGAAAAACCTACTAGACCACTTATCCCACATAAGTCCAATTTCATCATCTTTTTTGTAACCTTTTTCTCTAGCAAGAACTGACCATCCTCCTTTGAATACATACATTCCTTTGTATATAATCAAAGTTAAGATGTGATCAGCAGCTTCATGACCTTCCTCTATAATATGGATCTTCACTTCAACACCATTCGCCAAATTCTCGACCAAAACTTGGGGTAAGACCGGTATGATAAAAGTTTCGAAATCGTGTTTAGGTAGAACAAACTGACCGTGAACATCAGAGTCGGATAACCACTTTTTTATGACCCATGGATCGTGTGGACCTAAACCCAATTTAAGATGGAGATGTTGAAGATGAGCCATGTTTTCAAGCTATGAAC